CTTTCAGCGTCTCTGAGAGCGTCTCTCACAGTCTTTCACAGTTTCTCAGTTATTGCCTAGGTGTTTTTATGGATCTCTCACAGTCTCTGTGTGAGAGACTAGAACGATAAAATTATTAATTCAGAGATTCGGGTCTCTCACAGAAAAACTGAATGAATAAAACTGAAAAATTGAGAGACTGGAGTCTCTCGTAGAAAGCCTGGGATCTCTAAAATATGTTGAACTTAGAAAATTTTAACCATCTCTATCGAGACACCATTTATTGAGAGATTCGAGTCACTCGTTCAAAGATTCGAGTCTCTCATTTAGATACGCTAAACAGTTTCTTTGACAGTCTCTCTCAGCGACACCAGAAACACTCGATGAGAGACGGAGACTAGAGTCTCGCTTTCAGAGACTCTGAGAGACTGAACACTTTTATCTCGGGGTCCCATAAACTGCTCCATTGGGTTCCTTATAGATACATATTATTGTAACTATATGATAAATTACCACCTTTTTAGTCTTTTTAACAGATAAATACAACAACTAAAAGCATTATGTGTATTATATTTCTTTCATTTTTAAAATGTATTCCTAGGTATTATTTTTCGGCACTTTCGGGACACCGTGTATATATTTCGTACAAATATTGGAAACACCTTTAAGCCAAAGCTACAATGCTTTTCAAGGCAGCAATTATGTCATAGAAGTCACATGTATTTAGGTGGCATTATAGGTAGAAACCTGTCAAAAGTTTGCTTCTGNCCTAGACTATCATGTAGGCGTAAGCCTGATTTAGGAATAATGCAACCTGAAAGTTGTGTAGGTAGTTTCCTTACACATTTCTTAGATACAGCAACTTAAATAAACCTACGTAGAGGTCTACTTATATAGACTTCATCAAAACAACATTTGTAGACCGAAAACATCAATAATATACTGAATAAGGTGAAACCAAAAGGTAGTCAATAACAATTTAAATTTAAAAAAATCACCCCATTGCGTAAAAGAGAATTAAAATGTGGACAGAAGATGACGTGGGAGCATAGTAAGATATTATTATAATGTAGGTAAATCGTTTTTCTTAAAATTTAAGTAAATTGTTATTATGCGTCTTGAGCATTTGATATTTTAATTTAAATTTTTATTTTTATCATATTCATTGAATACTGAAATCGCCGCAATTCTAGAGATATCTACTTAAAAAAATATTTTTTATTAAAGTGGGGGATATGAGTAGCAAGTTTATTATTAAAAACGTCATATGAGATTGTGGTTTCCCTTCAACATTGACTTTCCATTTAAAATAACTTTTCAGGACGATCTCACGACACTTTAGAAATATTATTCAGCGAAGAAGTTCCTTTTAAGTGTAAATTTTGGAGTTTATAACTAATAATAAAGGAAACGAGTTTCTCGTTTTTGTATAAATCCGTGTCATGTTCCTGAAAACTGGTCTCGGAAAAGCAAACGCTGCGATGAGAATATTACAATGTCGTTTTTATTATTAGATAAATTTCGTCGCTCACAATTTAATTTGCTTGCTCAAAAATTTATCAAGCTTCTTTTTATCTTTCCGTTAGTATTACTCGGTTTGACGGTAGTAAATTAAAGAAAAGTTGAGAGAAAATAGATTACAGAGGAAGTTTATAAATCAAGCACATCTAACCGAAAATTCATCAAAAAAATAAACGTTGATTTTTTTTATGATATGAACGCGGAATCCTAAATTTTTATGATGTAGTCCGAAATCACATTGCTGTTAAACTAAGTAGTTCCAATACACCAGTCAATGGTAGAGTCCTTTATATCATAGAGGACTCTGGTCGTTGGTGTCAACCATAGACATATGTTATATTCTGATTTTATTATGTTAGAGATAACATAAATTTAGATTGCCGAACTAATCCTGGTAAATATCGTACAGATAGTCACGGGCAGATTGGTCTATACGTTGCAAGATGTAGATGTTACTAATCACTTTTAAATGCAACTATCGTCTTGGAGAGTGTTCTATCATTTAGTTGTAATTCAACTTATTTAAGTTAATAATATCAACCTCTGAATTAAACAACAAAATTAAAGATAATACGTTTATTACTCACAAGTAGAAACACATCGAAGGGATGAATGTCCCTGTACCAATATTTATACCTTATGCTTTTGATAAAGCCTAGTCACTATCAGTGAACTATGACTGCGTAAATACTGTGGGAAAGTCTATCTAGACAAAAGTTAATATTGTTGAAATACTTATCTACCAAATAATATACGAAATACTTATATCTAACACATATATTAATGGACGTGCGTTAGCCGCATGTCGTTGTAATAATTTCTTGGCTCGAAAAGTGAGAGAGATGGCGTATGGTTTCGGACTAGTGCTGTCTCATTCATGACACGCTTACGTATTATCGCGAGAGAGATGGATAATGTCCGAAACTTCGTTCCATCTCTTTTTTTTATTGTACCACAATTCTGACCGCTAAGGCATGTCCATTACTAAACGTCGATGGTGTCAACTCTTAAACTATGTATATTGTCATGATTTATCAATTTCCAAATAAATGAAACAGGAAAGGAAGATGATAGATTTAAAAACGTTTTATTAAAGGTTAGTAGCTCTGTTGTATTTAACGTAAAAAAAGCATTTAATATTAATCGTCATCATAATCATCATAAGGTCGTCAGTCCTAATACTGGTTGGACACGCATCTCCACTCCTTCCAATCTTGAGCTGATCTTCGAATTTCTCTAAAACTAAAACACCCCACATCCTTAACTATTTGCGAACAGTAATCTAATCTACTTCTACCTCTACTCTCCTTAACTCCTGCTTCTGACTCTATGTCTCTGACTAGACCTTCATGACTGAGAAGGTGTTCTACTAACCTAATTCGTCAATTTTTGATTGATTTCTATAGAGTCCTCTGTTCTCCTATTCTTTCTAATACCTCTTCATTTCTAACCTTTATCCATGGTATCCTCATCATTAGCCTGTAACACCACATTTCGAACGCTTCTAACCCTTTCTTTTCCGCCGCGTCCACCGTCCATGTTTCGCACACGTACAGCGTCGCGCTCCAGTCATACACCTTTAACAATCTTTTTCCAATTTCTAAATTAATCGTTCGCGTTCATATTTTTGTTTTACTTTTATTGATCAATATTAATCGTAAATGTCATTTTGAACACCAAAGAGATACAAGAACTATCACGTTCTTTTCGGGTGGCATATTATAAAAAATAAACGTGTTAGAGTGACAGACAATATTCTTTCGCTAGAACTGACTTGATGAGATAATCTAAATTATCAGTATAATGTAGCTAACTGAGGAGGGTTTTACTCGTCTAGATTATTATATGAAGGGCAGATGGGCCATTACAGGATATTAAAGGGACATTGTATTTGAAGGATTTATGACGGCTCTAGTATTCGCTTACATTTTGTACACTTCAATTTAACATCATTTTCCAAATTTTCCGGAAAAAGCTTACATGTGTGTAAAAAGTAAATATTGTAATACAACAACGAATTTCTGACATTAAATTTGAGAAACATGATACTCTTTTTTAATATGTCTGTTCAAGTTCTCTTATAAAAATTTATTATTAAGTTTTTTTTAAGTTATTATGACTACAAAATTTCCTTCTCGGTAACGAAAAATGATATAATATGATGAATATATAGTAAGTACCTCCTACCTAAGCATGAATATTAAGCACAGATATGACGTCAAAGCACTGAACAAAATACGGCGTAATTATTTATAACGTTGAAAAATTTGATGCAAATTATCTGTATGTATTGTTTAATACATTATAAACCAAAACTACACGTAGGTAGATACATCTTTTTAATAAGTTTAAGGTATGCTATCCTAATTTAAATCTAAATTAGCCTAAAGTGAAAAGCTTATTTCATAGATAAAAGACATATCTAAGGCAGTTTAATTTCTTTTCGATAATAAAGTGAAAGTACCCGTGTTTCAGGTAGGATCGCTGCCTCTATTTTTTTTATAGGTAAAGATATTTCAAAAAACTTTGTAAGCGTCTAGAGGTAAAGGATTATCGACAACTAAAATCTATTTTATTATCAAAATTGCGAGTAATTGCAATACATTTTGTAATTTTATTATAATGAGTTGAATGTTCCTTAACTCTAACGGTAAAAGCTCTACGGCTTTAACCTGTATATCGTTCATAGTAAATTCTCCATTTAGAACTGTCGATTCCAGATTTCTTTCTTTTTGTGTTAAAATAACAATTTTTCATTTATTTTTCTGTTTACACTTTAGTGATGCAAATACTTGCCTATCCACCATGTTTTTTTGCATATGATGCTACTGACAATGTACATTTGCGTTAACATTTTGTTACATTTGAACTACTTGACTCATGAGTAGACCGATTTTGAGTTATGACGTTGGACCTAATTTGGGAATAACTACACTACATTCTGCGATTTTAATATGATGAGTTGAATGTTCTTTAACTCTAACGGTAAAAGCTCTACGGCTTTATCCCATATACCATTTAGGTATAGTTAATTTTACATTTAGCATTGTAAATTCCAGATTTCTTTCTTTTTGAGAATCAAAACATATGTTTCAACAATATGTTTTATTAACCACTCGACAATTGTTTCGACTAACAAGTCATTTTCAAGAATACATTGACGATTTCTTTTCGTTTTAACATAACAATTTTTCATTTATTTTCCTGTGCCCACTTTTGTGATGCAAATATCTACTTTACTATCTACAATGTTTTTGTTTGCATATGATACTACTGCCAATGTATATTTCCGTTAACATTTTGTTGCATTTGAACTACTCGACTCATGAGTAGACCGATTTTGAATTACGGCGTTGAACCAAACCTAACCCTCTCCTAATAAGTGGTAAATTTGATATCTATAACCATCATTCTTATCATCAGATGCGGGACAAACTGAATACGCTTAATTTAGAAACTTATTTATTATTTTTCAACCTAATATACGAAATCTTTTGCAGATATTTACTTTGCATTAAGCCGACCCGTCCCCGGTGCAATACATGCCAAGGACAGCAACATGCAACAACGTTGACGTACATGTCTACAAGAAAGATGCCGTCGTCAGTAAAATCAAGAAATTGCTCCATCAGGAAACAAGAACCTTACGGCCACGAGACCACGATTACTCTTCTTGGCAATGGGCACGAAAATATATGTACAAAAATTTAAAGGTGACAATGCAAAAGTATTTTATTTCCTCGAATTCTGTCAAAATTACAAAAAAGCACTCGAATTTTTAGTATAAGTAGATATTTTGGATTGAATATATGCTCGTCAGTGGTGTATGTTCCCTAAGGAAAATTTGGAAAACTCCAAATTTGTCGCAATTCGTTTAGACCAAATCATGCGATAATAACTGTTTTAAAATTCTTTTCTCTTTCCTTATTCGATCGCTAGTAATAGTCTTAAAGCAGTGGCGTAGCGTGGTGGGGAGGGCAAAGGGTGGGGGGCATAGGCCCTGGGCGGTGCAAATCTGGAGGCGGCAAAAATCTTTCTTCGGTATTAGATAGAATCAGGTCCGCCGCATATTTATGACAGATATTTCAATTTATTGGTATTCCTACTAGTTATTAATAATTTGCACCATGTGGTGAAACATTACCGTCTCGTTTGGAGAAAATATCAAGATTTTTGTGTTGATAAAAATCTGTGAAGAGCAACCGTCTTATATATAACCGTAAAAACGGCAAATTTTTATAGTCAATATAACAAAACTTGAAACACGAATGGTCAGTCTAACAGTTCACTTTATGATAAGGGCAAAGCTGTTATTATAGCCCAAGCTCCCATAGCACAAAAATGTAGAATACCTACGATTATAAAAGCTGAAATCGTAACATACGCGGGAAAACATACCAAAAAGCAGAAATATGGTGTACTGTAGATTTAGCCTATAATGTGTAATATAAACAAAACACTTTAGATTCTATTTACATTTAGCACTACATAATGTTATGCTAAATTTCATAAATGTCATCAGCAAAATGATGCAGAATCCTGAGTTATTAAGACTTAATGCAAAGGTATGGAAAGAATACGACAATAAAGATACTGAAGATCCAATATAATCTATTTGAGGAACCAAAATCTTTACATCGTGAGAAGAATCCTCAAAATCCTCCTGCTATTCTGAATTATGTATGTAAACGAAAAGCAAAACCTTTTCAAATGCACATGCTTAATTTTATGTTTGTTCCTATGTAAATGAACACATTTTGAATTGAAATCAACCATTTTGTTGAAATTTACAAATCTTGTGTTATATGGAAAAGAGCACAAACTTTTTTTCCACATAAGCGACTCGACTTATGCCCAAGCAGCGATCGTATAAGGTTTTTTTAGACAAGCAATTGATGAAATAAAAATCGTAGATTTATTGAAATATATTTATTGATTATTTTGTATTGGGTACACTGATCGCACTCTTATTTGCTATTGTACTGATCGTGAAAGTTTCCGATTTCAATTAAATATAAATAGTACCCGACGTATATATTTATTATGTATGTAGGAAAACCTACTTGTAAATAAGCTCATACATTTTCAATTTTCACTAATAATAAATGCTATTTATCTCCTCAAGGGCTAAATTAAAAATACATCTTGTTTGTACATCTTTTCACTGCAATTCTGACAAATTTAAATAAAAGATAGGAAAAAATAGGAAGGGCGGCAAATTTACGGTTCACCCCGGGTGACAGAAATTGACGCTACGCCACTGTTGCGATCCGCTTTAAACGTTTTTCCGGCCCGCGAGATTTATTATGGTTTATTTTATAATGACCGCTGATTTTCGGTATCTAGGAAGTCATATAATTCAGGAACAAAAATAAGTCACTATGTTCGCGAACGGTTAATAATAATGAGGTTGATAAAGGTGTATATGTCTAACGGGTGAGAAACGCTGTAGAGAAAAAAAGGTTAGAAGCGTTCTAAATGTGGAGTTACAAGCGGATGATGATACCGTGGATAGAGAAGTCAGAAATAAGGAGGCATTAAAG